AAATCGCGATCTAATATCGCCAATAGTTCACTGGCCAAAGGCCCATCATTTACGACAGGAATGAAACGAAAAACTGCGTTGTTTCGGTAAACAATTCGATAGATCGAAGGACTGCTACGCGTTTAAAAACTCGTCAACGATATTGACGACGGGAATGATTTCATCTTTCTCTCGACGTGCCCTCACTAGGAAGGCCTCTTCTTGGCCTTCTCCTCCTGTGACGATAACGCAACTCTATCGATCGTTTTGTTTCTATTCTCCAAAATCGAACGCTTTCATCAGATTCTTTTAGTGCGCCGCCTAACGTAGCCAGAAAAGGGAAAGAAGTGCGCCCAAAGGCGCACTTCTTTCCTTTTCTTTCCCGATCTACCCGCAACCGTTCGCAGTGGGGTTTTCAAGAATTTGTTTCTCTTTAAACACTTGATCTTCTTGCGCAAATTTTCGTACGTTGTCTCAAGTGATCACGGCTGAGATCTTCTTCTGAGAAAGATGTAAGATTTATTCCGGGGACAATTCCTTCAAGAAGGACGTCACCGATGTCGAAGCAACGGCAGAATACGCCTCGGAGAGGGATCTAACAAGAACGGCAAACCCCTCGAAAGCGCGGAATTGACACAAGGAAAAAGATGAAGATGAGAAAGTTGCACGAGCATGTTGCGAAACATTATTTTTCCTCTCAAGTGGGAACAAAATGAATTTATGCTGACTGCAAAAACACGCCCGTGGGAAATGTTATTTCTCTGACAAATGGGACCAATTTTTTCAGCAACCGTCGCTTGACCTTGTGCGTATTTACCAAAATCTTCATTTTCGCACTTTCACGATGTTCTATAACTCACACTAAATTTTATAAATAATGCGGTTCTAGCAGTAGCAAGTCAAATATTGGGTTGTTCCGAAAGTCTTTGACCATTTGTCGATTTTTTTCGAATCCACTTTTCGTCTTCATCCCATTCAGCACATTTACAAATATACAGTGCGTACCAAAAGTATGTGGACACCCTAGAATCGATTCTCAGGAGTCAGCTAAAGGCTTTTTGTGTTATGAAACCTTCACCATTCAACTCCTAGTGGTCGATAACCTACAATGACATTCTCGGCAAAAGATTTCGTTCTAACTTAGCGAACTATTTTTCATGGAAAGTTTTTTCTTTGTATCAAAATTATGTGGACACCCTGAGGCAGATGAAGTTTTTGCATCGATTTCCTAACCTATTTTTACTTCTCCTTTCGTTACTTATTCTGGCATCATTCCTCTTCACGGCAAGCGTTTTTCTGAAGAAGACCGAGCACAGAAATGGGATCCCCATGCTTCTGAACCTTCCTATTGCGAAATAGCACGTCAACCAGTCATGCGTCCTCGTAGGTTTGGAGAGAAATCCGAAATCCTGATGCTAAGCTCTCGACCTTGACTGAGGGTTGTTCAATCGCTACTTGTTCAAAACAGGAGAAGAATAGCCTTAATTTTCTCAAATTATTCTTTTCGTACTACTCAACTTTACGCATAAATGATCTTCCCGATCTTAAAAAAGACCAATCGGTGTCTCATTCAATCAATTGAGCACACGACACGAAAGAAGATGAAGAAGACTTTGTATATGAATGCGGGTTCAGGTTGGCAAGGTTGGAATTCCCACTCAAAAAAAGGATCACAACATGATATCTTGAACCCACACAGACAGCGCTTTCGTGGAAATGGTAAAATTAGTATAAAAGACTTTCTGTGGAAATTTCTTTCATAGACCAACTCGACTGGCAGAAAGAAGCTTATTCCTTACTATTCGGGTGGGTCTTGAGGTTTTTGGAGAGACTTTGGTCGGACCCGCAGATGTGCTCGAAGAGACAATTCGGAAGATGTTCATCAAAGGTCTGGGGTGGTTCCAAAAGGAGGGGGACATTGAAGTTTGGCTTGCCAACATGTCAGGTAGACAACTAGGATTATAATGAGGTGCTTGAGTCCCGGCTACAACCTTTTTCGAAAAGTCATGGTTGCAAATCACTTGTTTTGCAGGGGAGGTCCCTGACACCATTCCATTTGGAAAAATGCTAAACGCAACGGCTTTGATTGGCAAGTCGGCTAGCGTATTCCTCAGACTTCATCCTTATTGAAAACGTAGAGGTATCGTGGTTCGCGGTCTCTACGTCATTGAACAAAAGAGTAATATCACAAGTGACCTAACACGTCGGTGAAATTTGCTAGTTGGGAACAGATCTGCAAGACATGTATCCAGACCCCATTCATAGCATGCCAAACAGAATGGCTCAACTTACTAGAAACTTTGGTAGGCCTACCGATTTCAGATTCTGAAGATATTGCCGTTTTTCAAAAAGTGTCCACATAATTTTGATACAAAGAAAAAACTTTCCATGAAAAATAGTTCGCTAAGTTAGAACGAAATCTTTTGCCGAAATGTCATTGTAGGTTATCGACCACTAGGAGTTGAATGGTGGAGGTTTCATGACATAAAAGCCTTTAGCTGACCCTGAGAATCGATTCCAGGGTGTCCACATACTTTTGGTACGCACTGTATGTACCCATATTAAATGCGCCGCTAAAACATATAGCCTTTCACCAGGTGACTTGTGGATGCGGCTTGCCTTAAAATCCAGATTTCAAGGCTAAAAAACTCAAAGAAGTCCGTTTTCGAGTAGTCCATATAAGGTACGGACTGTGCCCTGGGCAATTTTCACAGAGCAGTTCTCTTGAATTTTCAGTAGGAAGGGAATAGATCATGAAAATAACGCCAATTCTTAATGATCGGCTTTAGAAGTATTAGGTTGTCCCACAATTTACATTTACTTCGGTAAAAATTCCTAGAAAAAATGTTCAAGGCGTGGAACCTTAGCGAGGTTGCACCCGAATTAGCCTAC